TAAATTACAAATACATTTTATGATGTTTGCTTAAAATATGAATTATCTCATGTGATTTTAAAAATTACAAATATCTCATTGTCAAAATTTTTTATTTAACAAAATTAAGAGAAAAAATAAAATTTCTAACTAATCTACTATATAACAATAAAATAATTAAAATTGTTAATTGAAATATATTTATGATATTATTAAAAATTATTAATTAATTTAATGATTTATTAATAAAAATAATTATTTATTATGCAATTAAAAATTTGATAAAATATAATTTGTAGAACCATGTGAAGTAGTTCATATTTTAAGTAAAATTTGAAAAATGTATTTGCAATTTTAGGAAAAAAAGAAAAAAAGAAGCTATATACAGCATTACTGGGATTGGGAGTAGGTGCTATTCATATCTCTTGAGATTTATTCAGATCATATTTTGATAATTTGGGCCTTTTATTTTATATGATTTGTTGAGCATATTATTTATATAAAAATAAAATTAATCTGACAAGTATAACCACATGATCAAGCTGAATAATAATTTTTTAAAAATATTAAAATTATACTAATTGTTTATTTTCCTAAACATAAACGTTGTTTTATTGTGAGTTACAAATGTTTAATTAATTTGAATTTTTTCACGAATGATCTATTCAATAAATTTTACACTATAAATAATTTAAATTATTAAAATAAATTCATGACATATTTTCCTAAGCTTAGAGCATCAGCTTCAGCCTCTTCAAATTCTTAATCAAATTAGAGCTTAAAAAGTTATTTCGTTATTTTAACTAGTCACTTAACATCTCCAACCCATTAAGCATATAATGCTTGTTAGTTAAAATGCCTAATATGACTTATTTTTTTCAATTTCAATGCACTAGTCATATGATTAGGCATTTTAGTTCAATTCATATTCACTAGTTACATGTAGCTAGCCTTCAACGTTAGGCAAAATATATTCAATCATTAGGATCATTTCCCTCCATTTTTGTTAGTGACGTGGCATTCTATAAAATTAATAGTATTTGAATAAATAGCTAAAATAAAGAGCATGTTTGGAGTAAAAACATAAAACAGTTAATATGTAAAATAAAATGTATATTTTATAGTAATATTTAGATAGGTAAAATTCATACTACCGTTGGAGATGTTCCCACTACATCAAACTCTCTATTCTAACTCAATCCTATTAAAATATTATTTTATTATTATATTTGTTATTATTTCTTTTTTTATTAAATTGATGAGCTGCCAGTTAAATAATTTTTTAAAAATGCAAAAAAAAAAAATGCCATTGACCGGTTGACCGGCTGGATTTTCGGTAACACCTAATCCCCTTGTTGTAATGATGAACAATACCTCATTTATTATAACGAGATATAGTAATGTTAACAAAATGAATGAACGCTATACCGAATCTAATAAAGCACATATTTTTAACTTTTATTTTTTACAATAACTTCAAAGTTAGGCCAAGTTTAGCATATTACAAAAAAATCAAAAAATCAAAAAGTTACTCAAAAAGTTAAAAAGTTATCACTATTCACTAAAAATAAAAAATTACAACTGCACAACTCTCAATCCTAATTTTACCGTACACACTAATTTATATAATTTTTTAATACACATTTTTTCATAAAAAGTCAAAAAGTTAACTCAAACATTCATATTTTTTTTCTCAATTTTTTAGTCCAAAAAGATAAAAAGTTCACTTAGGCCTCGTTTCGGAAGGACGATTTAGCTAAAAAATAAAAAAGTTACTAAAAAGTCAAAAAGTTACTAAAAAGTCAAAAAGTTAACAATCCATACAAAAAAGTCAAACATTTTTTTTTCTCTCTACTTTTTGCACATCTTTTTGTAAAAAATCAAAAAGTCATCCCAAACATACTAATTTTTTTTAGCTCATATTTTAGTCAAATAATTAAAAAATTATTAAATTAATCTGTTCCCAAACGAAAACTTATTTACAACACCTCAAACAACCCTTTATTATAAACAAGTTGAAACTGATGTGATGCTCTTACAACACAACAATATGCCAGCAAAACAGTGCACCAACCTTGTTCCCCGTGTAACCGATGTCGTGGACAATTGGGTAGTCGTATACACAAATTCAGTATAGACAGTGCATTTTAGCAACAAAAGGAAAGAAAAAGAAAAGAAAAAGAGTTTCGTAGTTAAGAAATGAAACGCAAGTGTCAGTAGACACCTTTTCTTTCTTTTGATCCACGAAATCAGAAACAGCTTCACCTTCATGCCTCTCTCCTCTTGTTTGTTTGTGTTCCCAACATAGCCGTTACCCTCCTAATATAAATACGCGTCACCCTCACTCACCCCCTACCCATTAATAACCTCCATTTCGAATGTCGCACCCCCTTTCTTCTCCTCCCTCCTCACCATCCACTTTCCCTCTGCCCAAACATCCCCTTTACATATTTTCCCCCACTTTCCCAGAAAAACCTTTACTGTTCGCTGTAGTAGACTTGTTTGACAAAATTTATTGGTTATGTTTGGTTTGTCTCTGAGAATATATTTTTAAAGAAAATTTTTTAAAACATGTTTGATTAAAAAAAATTTAGGATAAATTATAAATATATCTCCTAAAATTTGTTTAAAATACGGATTATTTTTTGTGGTTTAAAAAATTACAAATATTCTCTTTAACAGAATTAACTATAAAAATAAAATTCATAATTACTCTTCTATATAATAATAAAATTACATAAATTATTAATTCACACATATTTCTAACATTATTAAAAACTGTTAATTAGACTTGATTTATTAATAAAATAGGTGATTTGATATGAAAATAAAAACTTCAGTGGGTGGAATGTAATTTCTAAAACTATAAGAACGATTCGTATCTTAATCAAATTTCAGGGGATGTATTTGTAATTTATCTCAAAAAAAATTTAAAAATCACTTTTCCCTGTATTACACATCAATCAATCACATTTCCTCTTCTCCTTCTTAATTGCTTTTTCTTTCACATCTATCTATTGAACTATAAAAAAATATCAAATCATCTCAAACTCCAAAACTATTTTCAAAATACACAACTAAACAAATTTTCAAAATTTGTAAACTCTCTCCAGAAAATTATTTTTGAAATAATATCTCAAAATACAAACCAAATAAGGCGATTATCGTTAAAATTGTGTTTAAATCATGAATTAAAAAGAAAATTTTAAAAAATAAAATATATGTGCATTTTGCATAATATATATATTTTTTAATCAAATCCTTACATAAATTAATGATTCAAATACAACTTAAAAGTTAACAGCGAAAAAGTGAAATATGGTTGGTGTAACGTTTTACAAAATTACTCACCCAAAAAACATTTTACAAATTAAAAGTTGATAAGGCATGAATTAAAACTACGTAGTCTCGTTTAAGAATATGATTTTTTAGTTTAAAAATTAAAAAGTTATTTAAAAAATTAAAAAGTCAACAAATTATACAAAAATGGTCAAAATTTTTCTTTTCTCTTTACTTTTTGCATATATTTTCGTAAAAAATCAAAAATTTATCCCAAATGTACTAATCTTTTTACCCCATATTTTAGCTAAAAAATCAAAAAATCATTAAAATAAACAAGGTCATTTAAATTATTTTTGTCTCATAAAGACTGTTTTAGGAACTACCAAAATTACAAAAAATAACTACTAAAATATCAACTCTTCTTTCTTTTTCTTTTCTTTTCCTTTTTTTTTTTAATCTTTTCGTAAAAAAATTAAAAATCAATTAAAATAGAGTAATGCTACGCTTATGAAAGAAATATTATGAAAATTTTCATAAAGATTCTCCGCCCCTATATTAGTTTATGGTGTTTTATTATATGTTATACAATTATATACAAGTTACAATACACTATCTATCAATCATAGGGCACATAAGATAAAACTTTTTTTTGTTGAATGTTAAGGCAACTAAGTTTATACTATTTGTAAACTAAAACTTCAAAATTAAAACATACTTATATTAATGTAAGTTTTTTTTTTTTCTTCTTATTTTGCTATCTATCATGCTAAATTATTTTTAAAAATTTCATGAAATTTTTTATGATATTTCTTTTGTTAAACCTAACATTACTCTTTAAATAACTACTTCTCAAAATAATTCAAAAAAAATATATATATATATATATATACAAACTCACTTTCTAAATATATTTTCTAAACCCAATAATGAATCAAGATCCTCTCATTCATCTCTCTCTTTAACTCGCTCTTTGCTAGGCCATTGGGCCCACTTTTGGATCCAATTTCAATGATCTAAACCGTTACATTTTAAGATTTGTTGAGTATATCATACCTGTAAAAAATTAAGTTGCTCGGATATCACAAACAACGTGTTCGAATCATCGAATTACAAATCATTTTTTTTAAAAATTTAATAAACAGTTTTCCAAACACATACTTTCTGATATCCGATCAACTTGATTTTTTACAGGTATGATATACTCAACAAATCTTAAAATGTGAACGGTTCGGATCATCAAAAATGGATTCAAAAGTGGGCCCAATGGCCTAGCAAGGAGAGAGTTAAGGAAAGAGTTGAAGGAGAGGATTTTGATTCATATCAACGTAATTTTTTACAGGTATGATATATTCAACAAATCTTAAAATGTGAATGGTTTAGATCATCAAAAGTGGATCCAAAAGTAGGCCCAATGGCCTAGTAAGGAGGGAGTTAAGGAGAGAGATGAAGAAGAGTGAGTAATATGATTGGTTAATAATTGAGAAGATACGAGAGAAGTGTTATTTTAGATACCTTAATTGATTGTCACATCATTAGAATTGAAAATTAAATTTTTTAATTTGTATAGCAATGCCTTCCAAAAAATTATAAGTAAAAACTCCCCAAATATTTTACACATTTTTTTTAAAAAAAATATATAAAGTTATAAGCAAATCTATAAATTTTTGATAATCAAATTTTTAAACTTATTTAAACAGATTCTCAAAATAAAATAAAACAAAGATTATAAGGAATTAAAATACACAGCCCCATACAATCCCGGTATCCTACACCCCACCACCCTTTAGCCCTCTCTCTCTCTCTCTCTCTCTCTCTCCTCTATCAAACACCCACAGAATTTCCTTTCTCATTCGACTTAAAAAAAAAGAAGGAAATGTTGGTTTCGGTGTTTCTTGCACTGTTTCTACCGTGCGCCGGCATGAGCGCAGTGTTCGTGGTCTACTTATGTCTGTTGTGGTACGCGGCGAACATCGACAGCAACCGGACTGATTACCGGCTACCGGAGAAACCGGAGGAGAAGAGTGGTCTGACGGCGGCGGAGCTGGAAAAGCTGCCCAAGATTACGGGAAAGGAATTGGCGATGGGGACGGAGTGCGCGGTGTGTCTGGACGAGATAGAGGTGGATCAACCGGCTCGGCTGGTACCCGGTTGCAATCACGGGTTTCATCTACAATGCGCCGATACGTGGCTTTCCAAAAACCCTGTTTGCCCTGTTTGCAGGGCTAAGCTCGACCCTGAGTTTTTTAACCCTCCTCAAGACAATCCCTGCTAGAGAGAGAGAGAGATTGTGGATTCTCTGTTTTCATGGTTTTAATTGTTTATTTTATTTTATTTTTTTGAAATTTTATTGGGTTTTTAGAGATGGTGATTAGTCTTTTTTTGATATATGTTTGTGTCTGGGTGATCATGAGGTTCTTTAGAACTACATAAAACACAACCTTCTTCTGTAAATATATATATATATATATTTTTATAATAAAACTTTATGTATAATACAGGTTTTTGATTCACTTGGGAAGTGCTTGTGCTGTGAAAATTTTGTTTGTTGGTGATTGCATGTGTAACTTTTACACTCGTTCCACCTGTGCAAATTTATTCATACATTAAATAAGTTTGTCAACATTACACTTTGTGGTTATTGATTGTTTTTTTTGTCTTAGAAGCGTGACAATCCAATTCAGCAACAAAGTTAAAAAAGTAGTGTGAACAAATTTACTTAGATTTTTAGTTAAAGACAAATGTAAATAAGTGTTCTTTATGTATTGTTTAATATTAAAAAGTATGCATAAAATGTCTTAATAATATGTAAAATTATTAAAGAAGTATATTGAATTTAATAAAAAATGTCTTTTACTTTTTAAATTTTTTTATCCTTTACTTGAGCCCAAAAGATACTTGTGAAAAAGACGCTTAGTTAAAATAAGGATGAATTATAATAAAATCAAGCTTTAATCGTTTCGCTTCTTAAATTTAAGAAATACTACGGTGGTTTGCAGAGTCACTAATAATCTCTTAAATTTAAAAAAAATTAAAAAAATGGATTAGAGGGAAAAAAAATGATCTATTATTTAAAAAGATAAAAGTGATTCTCCAGAAATAGAAAATTTTTCTCTTTTGTAATAATTTAAATAAAAAAATAAAGAGTATTTACCAAAGATGTTTATCAAATTGAGTAGGAGCGTTATTGCAAAATAGCTGTGGAGTGACGCGGAAAGTGGATGTTGCGTGAGAGTATACGTATATGTTATGTAGGAGAGGGTTCAAGAAAGGAGTTAGAAAATTCGAAGATCTTCGAAGATCCTTGAAGAACAATTTCGAATTCTCTAGAATATGATGAGAGGCTTAGATTCTTCAATAATCTCAACTTAGGAACACAACAACAAAGGAGATGATGGAGATAAGAGATTGGGTGAAGAAGAAGGCAAAATGGCTAGAGAATAGAATAATGGCAAGGCTCTCCCATAAAAATTGAAAATTATTCAGTGTGTTTGGTTTGAGTTTTTTGAATTAAGTTTTTTGAAAATTAAATTTTTTGATTTTCGTGTTTTTTTGTTTTTAGTGAATATTTTTTAAATTTTAAACATTTTTTTTACTTTTTAGATGCACCTTACTTAGATATATCTAAAAAGTAAAAAATTTGTTAAAAAATATTTTAAAAAATTAATAAATACATAAAAATATAAAAAAATGTACTGAATTCTCGTATTTTTTTTTGTATTTTGGGTATTTAGTGAATTTTTAAAAAGTTTTCTTTACAAATTTTTTATTTTTTAGATACATCTAAGTTAGGTATGCCTAAAAATTAAAAAAATTGCTTAAAATATTAAAAAAAAATCAGTAAAAACAAAAAAACACAGAAAATAAAAAAGTAGAATTTTCTGAAAAGTGTTTTTTTGAAAAGTGCAATCAAGCATAGTGATTGAGATTTTTAATTTCTTTTGGTAACTTTTTTTTCTATAATTTTTAATTTCTTTCAACTTTTAATTATTTTAATCAAAAAAATTAAATTACCAAACCAAGCAGTTACCATGAAATAATTTTCAGATTAAATTGGCTGCGTTGGGAAAGAATGGGTTGGGTGAGTTTGAGACTATTTTAGCCATAAAAAATTGAATAGATAGGTTTTTTAGTTTAATAAAACAAAACATCACATCCAACTTATAATCATTACATTATTTTTCTCACAAAAAGTCAAAAAATTCTTTTCAAACAAGACTTTTTAACCCCAAGTTAAAATAACCAACAAGCTAAAATAGCTAAAAAGTCAAAAAACCAACTCACTTCCCAAATGAACCCATTATAAGGAGAATTTTTGAATGTGTGTGGCATATGATACGTCATTTACTTATGTATTTTTGTGATTTAGATTAAACACTTTTGTGAGAACTTACGATATATTTTTATTAGTTACTTACACGAATTTGTACTAAATTATGCAATTTTGTGAGATGAGTAACATATATTTGTGAAAACTTAGCGTCAAATTATAATTTCTCAAATTTTTATGAATTAACTTAAGTGATTTTGTAAGATAACTTATATATTTTTGTGAATACTTAAATTTACATACTGCTTGCATATGATGTGCAACCCTTAAGGGATTGCACACCCAAACACTTCTCAATTATAAATATAATTCTGAAATTTACTTAAAATATATATTATAAATATCATTTTATTAGAATTTTTTTTATAAAAAAATTGATAATAAATGTAATATAAGAAGGGTGTAACACGTTTATGAAATATCAAACTAAAAAATAAATGTAATAGATATTTATTATTGATGCCAGGTCCGCCTTTATGAAATAGTTTGGTAAAAAACCTTTTGTTGATTTTCGAGAACATTTTATTTCTAATTTTATCCATTAATTTATTTGTTTTTTCAATTGTTAACTTTTTTTCAACTCTCTGCTCAATTTTTTTCCCTTTATCTTATCTGTTAAATTTTTTGTAATGTGTTGAAATTTACCACCTTAATATTTCGACACCTATCTGTTCAATTTTTAAAAAATTTCTATCTGTTAAAATATCAAACTAAAACGAAATCCTATTTGTTCAAATCCACTATCTGTTCAATATGAGCCTTTACCAGATCTGAGAAAAAAAAAAAAATTAAAGACACAAACAATACCTAACAAAACACAAAGCTTATACAATGAAATCTAACAAACTACAATCAAAATAGAATCCAGATTGCAGAATCAAACACATAATCCGATTATTTCCAATTTTATTCATTAATTTTTTTTTTTTAATTGTCAACTTTTTTTCAACTATTTGCTCAATTTTTTTCCCTTTGTCTTATCTGTTAAATTTTTTGTAATGTGTTGAAATTTACCACCTTAATATTTCGACACCTATCTGTTCATTTTTTTAAAAATTTCTATCTGTTAAAATATCAAACTAAAACGAAATCCTATTTGTTCAAATCCACTATCTGTTCAATATGAGCCTTTACCAGATCTGAGAAAAAAAAAAAAATTAAAGACACAAACAATACCTAACAAAACACAAAGCTTATACAATGAAATCTAACAAACTACAATCAAAATAGAATCCAGATTGCAGAATCAAACACATAATCCGAAGAAAAAGCTAAACAACCATAATTAGTATTCAAACCATGGTGTGTGTATAAAGAAACATACAAACCAGATATTGAGGAAGACAGAGATGAGTCGACCTGCGAGAAAGAGATGACCTGAACTCTGTGCTCTTTCACAATCTCTCTCTCTTCTCTGTTATATATATACATATATACACGTATACGTATGTAAATGCTTTTGCTTTTTGGAATTTCAGAATGGAGGAGAGAGAAACAGAGACTCCAATTGAAAAAGGAAGCCGGTGAAGTAGAAGGGCGGTTGATGGTTGTCATGTGCTTGATGGTTTGAGACTCCAACGCCGCCGATTCCTCAACCTCGAAGTTCTCGCCATCGGAGCTTTTCAACCCGATTGGTCTTCGAAGTCGACATGGTTGTGGTGAGCAGATCGGAGGTTATTAAAGTGCCGTCCAGAAGCTCTGATTCAAATATAGACAATGAATCGTCCAGATCTGAGGCGGTGGTGGGGGTTTTGGAGAGAGAGGTGGTGCGGTGGGTAGAGAGAAACACGGTGTTTAGGGGGGAGAGAGAGAGAGAGAGGTGGCGGCGGCGGAGGAGGGAGGCTGACATCGAAGGCGGATGAGAGAGAGAGATCTGAGATATTTTGAGTGAGAGTGAGAGACAGAGAGAGAGTGAAGCCGGTCTGGAATTAATTATTTTAGTTGGTTTTTATGAAAAATATATAAAAAAAATATAAAAAATGATATAATAATTTATAACGATTTTTTTTAAAAAAAAATTGATTAAAATTTTAAGTCCCTTAGGAGAAAATCATAAAGAGGGAGGGCAGAGGTAGAGAGGGGTAAGAGAAATATTTTTGGGATGATTTAAATAAATATATTTTTTGATTTTTTATGAAATATGGGTTAGGTATGGATTAGGTTTGAAGCGATGTGCTAGAGAGGTGATGTGACTTAAATAAGATGATTTGATTTAAATAGAATAATAATTTTTTGACTTTTTAAAGTTATGACAAACAAGACGTTAGTTATTTTGTTAGAATTTGACATGATAAATTAACTCTGGACCTTTAAGCAAGAAAAATTGAAGAATAAATTTTTCACCTGAGCGCCTTTTTTTTATTTAACAAAATTATCAAAAATAAAATAAAATTTTTAACTAGTCTCCTACACAATAATAAGATTATCATAATTATTAATTAAAATATATTTATAATATCATTAAAAATTATTAATTAAGTTAATAATTTATTAATAAAAGTGATGATTATAAATTTGGAGGAGTGATATATAATTATTAAAATTACATAATATAATTTGTATTTTAAACAAATCTCATAAAGTGTATTTATAATTTAAAAGGAAATTTAGTCAAAACACCTCAATTGAACCCTCATTTGGTGAAAATGACAGTCTAATTTATTTTTCTTCATAAATTCCTTAGGAAAAACACAAAATTGAGTAATAATAAAGCAAAAAATATATATATTTTTTCTTTCTTGGACAATATTGCCAAACATGTTACTGTAAGACAGAGTAACAAGTTACTGTCAAACAAAACAATTGTCAAACAGAGTAACACGTTACTGTAGGACATAGTAGCATGTTACTGTTACTGTTACTGTTTGTGTCAATTTCAACGGTAATAATTTTTTTAAAAAAGATTTTATAGTCAACATGGATCTTATTTGATAGATCTTAATGAAAGAATTCTAAAAATATTAATTTTATTAAAAACCATTATCTACATCAAACGTTATATTATTTTAAAATTTAATATTTTGATAATAATGTTATTTGTTGAACTTTTTAAAGAAAATTTTTTATACTTATTTTTAATACATTAAAATTTTATTATTAGGGATTTTAATCAAAACCACGTTTAAACAATAACTTTTTCAGATGGAGGAGTCTGCATTCCATGACACCCAATGTA